TTCCCGCAAGCATCAACTTCAAACAGCTCTGGCTTTCTGTCTGATCACATCTCTGTTGAGGGGAGCAGAGGCAAAGAGCTACTACTGAGGCGTTCTGCAACTCTGCAAGGTAATCAACTGGTTGCATTTTTACTTTTCATTTGTAATGCCTAACCAGTGGTTAAGTAGATTGACCAAAAAAAGCCTCTTGGCAAACTGTCTTGCTGGAATTTCTAGCAGGAGGAAAGTCTCAATACAAACTAAAAAATAGATTAAACAATGCTTTGGCTTACTTGCTTCCTGCAGGGAAAAAGAAGCAGTTTTTAAGATCAAGATCTAGCGTAAAATATAAAATCACTAGCATTTTAGTCATGGGTGTCAGTTGTATGTGTTTAAACATGCATATGCATTCTGACTTAGTTTCAATTCATCACATTAGACAGATTTAGAAAGCAGCAGTCGACCGGGACCATGCTCCAGCTGTTTTGCTCAGCACTGCCACAGGCTGCATGCCTTCCTCCGCTGCCATACTGCTGAAAAAAGCCCTTAATTCTTTGTAGCTTCTTGTACCTTTTGCAGGCTCTGAATTGCCAAGATGCTTCTGCTTCTTTCTCTGGTCACTGGGCTTGCCCTGTCTGCCTCTGGTGTCATGACAGCCAAAGAAACCGATCCAAGCCAAGAGTCATTTCATGACATACAGAAAAAAGTGAACGACCTCTGGCAGAATTTGCTCCACCCAGTAATGCCTGGTAATGAGACTGATGGGATGATTTACGCCACTTGTGAAATGAAACCCAGCTCCAAAATAGATGCTGACAAGCCACAAGTGACTGGACAAGTCTTATTCAGACAGCATTACTCACATGGAAGATTAGAAGCCATTTTTTACTTGGATGGGTTTCCGTTGGATAATAATCAATCTGGTAGAGCTATACATATCCACGAGCTTGGGGATCTCAGCAACGGCTGTGATTCTACAGAAGGACATTATAACCCTTTCGGTGTGAATCACCCCCGTCACCCAGGGGATTTTGGCAACTTTTTTCCTAAAGAAGGCAAAATCAGAAAATACAAAACAAATCTCTTTGCCACTATGTTTGGTCCATATTCCATCATGGGCAGATCCGTTGTGATCCATGAGCAGGAAGACGACATGGGCAAGGGCAACAATAAGGCCAGTTTGGAAAATGGAAATGCTGGGAAACGTTTGGCTTGCTGCGTGATTGGGATATGCAACAAGAACTTGTGGGAAGACAAACTGTCTGAGGTTACAGACAAGAAGAAGAGAGGGCTCAACAAACGACCATAGAACCAGGCTTATGTGAAGATCAACAAGCTGGTTACAGCCTGGGCAGCACAAAGTAGCTTAGGCTGTGCCACTGGCCACTAAGATACACGGCTAAAGGATTCCCATTTCCATTTGCTTGCTCCTCTCAGAAATGCGTATCACTTTGTAGAGCCTCCTTTCTGTAAGCCCATCAATAAAAAGAGCATCAACTCAACCTCGTGATGTATTTTCTTGAAAAGATTCCCTTTTATGCAGTTTGGGAGCTGAATGCATGTAAGGAAGAGTGCTAACGGAGCTGGCTGATAGTCTGTAAAGAGCCTGTGCACTGTAAGGGGCTCTTAAGGGATCACAAGTTAGATACTAAAGGAAAAAAAAGTTAATATGGATAAGTAAGAAACTGCTTCTCATTAGATGCTATCCTGTATTTAGCTGCAAATCTGAAAGGCAAAAAGATCTCTGTGCTTTCAACAGTGTTGGGTGTTGTGTTGCAAGACCTGGATAATGGAATTCCCCTAAAAATAAAGGAAAGTACAGACATTTCTGTTTTAAACTTTAGATCCATTACATTATTCTACTTGTATTTTCAGGTTTTACTCACAAACACGTATAAGCTTCTTATCTATTTTAACTTGTCCACATGGCTATAGCTAAGTCACACTGTTTACATCTGAATGCAGACTTAAAAGAAATATTCCCATTTACCACCACTCCCCAGCAAAAATTCCCTAAAGCTTCTAGTTTGTGCCTGTTAGTAACTAAGTTGTATACAAAAGTTTTAATGCTGCTTAGATGATGATAAATTTAGCAGACCAGAGATAAATATTATTTTCAAAGCCAAAAAATACTGAGTGTGTTTCTTCATACAAAAATGTAGGAAGTAAATCAGTCAATTTACGCTGGGAGAAGTGACAGTGAAAAGATTTAAGTCAGATAATTTTCAGACTTAAAACTCTCACTCAGTAAAGCTTTACTTTCTTAATTTAACACAACTCACTGAAAACACTAAAACACTACCTCATGACTATCATTCATCTGATACTGGGAAGAGAAAAGGGAACAAGCAGGTAGAACAAGCGTATCAGGAAATGTTTTTATTAAAGATGACAAAATGTATGTTGTGCAGTTAATCCAGGCAGCAACAAAAGATTTCAAATAAATTAAACTGCGTATTTTAGAAAGTAAAGCTACAAAACAGAAGCTGGTAAACAAAATCCTATCTTTTAGAAATGTAGCAGACTTTCAACTTAATCTCAGTTAAGATTTTGAAATACATTCCTGAGCTCATATGGATTAAAGAAATTCCACTGTCTTTATTATACAAATTTCCATATGCTTAAAAATAGTCTCACTTAGAAAAGAAGCAGCATTCTAAAAGATGCTTCTTAATCTGTCATTTTCACACACTTATTTTACAAATTCAGTGATCATTGTTTTTCAAATAACCACAACATCGTAGTTTCAAATGAAATCCTTCTCACAGATAATACATTAATTCACTTTTAGGTGAGACAACCTCCTTAAAATCAGTTTGCGAAATGCATCTTCCCCATACCCCTGCCACAACATTCCCTTCCCAGTTTGCTTCCCCAGAGCCCAACACCAAAACCACTTATATGTATGGATGCAATTCCTGCATTTCTAAAGTCCTAGAAAAAGGGAACACATTTCTAAAAAAAACCCCCAAACCAACCAACCAAACCCACCCCATCCCCCCAAAACCTAAAGTAGTGCTGATTCCACAACAAAACAATTAATTTACTGGGAAAAAAAATCATCATTCTAATAGCACAACAACATCAATTAAAGCAATATCCAAGGAAGATACTGACAAGAATATTCAATTAGTTAGCACATAGCGCAGCAAAGACGTCTTACTTCTACAAGTCTCCTGGCTTTGAAGTCTTGTCTTCCTGGGAAAAGGCTAAAAACATAGCTAGAATACACATTCACCAGAGCAGAAAGGAGAGGGACAGTATTGCAGCAGTGATATAGCACTAAAAATGATGTTTCCAGATATCGCACTGGAATTTAATGATTGCAAAGATATAAAAATGGCATCAAAGAGGGAGAATGGTGTGAGGATAATTACCAAGATGTCCTAATTGTTGGGTTGTACATCTCTATTTTCTCACAGAAAAAACATACTAAAAAGAATCAATGAATGAGGCACTAAAAAGCTGTTGGTCCAGCACTGCTTCTACCTGCTCAAATTTTTGCACCAAGCTCTTCATTAATTAATAGCATTAACTGGCTGTTAAGGGAGCAGGAGCAAAATGCTAACTCACACAACTGTGGGTCAGGAAAGACACAGGACAGGGAAACAATATAACACCCTCAACACTTCTGAGCTCAGCTACATGATATCTTGACCTTCTTATTTGCTTGCCTCAGTTCTGACTGCATTGATATTTAGCTCTGCGCAGGATTAGTCTGTGAAAGATGGAAAAGAATACATCTTGAATAAAATGCTACTTCATGTGACATTCAAGCATTAAAGGAAAAAATCCTGCCACATTCTCCTGGAGATTTCAGTTTCTGCAGCTATTTCTCTTCTGACTTGTCAGTACTGTCATATAAATGAGTCAATAATCCAGTCAGTTACAATTAATGGGAACAGCATAACAATCTTTCAAATACTTAAGCTCTTCTTGGTTTTTCAGGTGCTGAGGAACTTAAGTGGTGATCAGGGTAATGAAAGAAAGACTTTTTACTGCTTCATGTCCCTAATACACTTAAATATACAGATGTTTTTTGTTCCTAAGGGCTGCTGCTTAGTTCAGTGAAATGCTGCAATGTCAAATTACCTTTAAAGAGAAAGGAAACATCTTTGAAGAGCAGTGCAAGTATGGCTTTATTGCCTGCAGACAGACACAGAAAGGGTTACACAAATGCACCTGCTAGGGAAAACACATGAGAACAGAGACAAGCCACATTTTTCACCTTCCCACTATCATTCCTTATATTTATATGTAATAATTTACATGCAGCTTTTCTTCTGCTGAATACAAACTGTTCATGGACTCTGACACCTTGATTATGGCAGCACCTGCTAGCTCATCTTCCATATACAGAAGAGTTTGTCAGTATTGCTAATATAAACTCTGTTTATTCAGTAGCTGACAAGTGGGCTGTAAAAATTTGCAGCTGGCAGTTATTTGTCAAAGAAGGACTCAATCTGGGAGGGATTTTCCTTTTTATTAGTAGTATTTTATTAAATTTGGTTTAATTCTCTCTGATTGGTTTCAAGTTCTAGGAGTGAGAAATGAACATTTACAGACAATTAGGTCCCAAGCCAGCAGAAAAATTGCCTTGACGGCTGCTGGCCCATAGAAGCTTCGCAGCTGCAGAGACTATTCCTTATGCTACAAACAGGAGAGCAAAGACATGCCTCTCCTTCTCCAACAGCTGCTAACTTCAACATGAAGTATTCCCTTGTTGCTGCCTTCCTAGGAGCAGAGTGGCACAGCTCCAGCATTAGGAGCGAGCTAGGGAATGACACAGCAGCCTCCCTTTTCCCCAGTTATTATAGGAGTGCTTTCCTATGACTAAACATCAACAAGGGAAGAAGTTTAAGAAAGCGGCAACAATGCAAATAAACCTTCTACCACACCACAGACTGGTGAAATGAGGAGGAAAGGAACAGTTATCCTTAATTCCAAAACATAAGAAAATAAAAAAGACACAGATTCCTTTAAAAAGGAGGGCACAGATAGAGTAGGCTGAAATCTACCACCCGATACTCAGCCCAAGGGCTGTTCCAGCTCCTGTAAGTTGAGGAATGCAATTTCAGTAACTGAGAGAGCCAAGAAGGTGGACAGCGCATCACTGGTTCTCCTCTTGCTGTTCTCCTTGCTTTGGAACAGCATTACCGTTTCTCACAGAAAGACTTCTGGCTTCTCTGATGATGTTTCCTTCAGAGCTTCATTAAATTGGGTTCTCAGCGTCTGGTGAAATAACTCCCTGCATTTTCATGAGATGAGCTGGGAGAGGGAAGGAAAAATTTCATACAGTTGAGAAGATATAAAGGTTTGTAATGAGAGAACTATATACATGCAGGGATGGTTTTCAGAAACTTCCTATAAGGGAATAGTGATTTTATTCTAAGGATGTACTTACAGTCACTATATGTAAAGAGAAACTGAACACAGCCTGAGAAACAAGCAAAAGCTTGCAGCCTTAAGATGCTTCTCAATTTATCGTTCCAAATTTTTCATCCTTGGAAGACACTTCTAACCATTAAAATACAGTCCAGCACTAGGACCACACATGTTACAGAAGCCTAGTGATAACATGATAAATCATTATCATTGGTTTCTTTGCTACACTAATGTAAATTACATCAATCTATGTAGAAACTTCAAATCATTACAAAAAACCAACACAATTAAACCTCATCACTAATTCTCTCCCTTACATAATTTACATTTTTGGTACACTGTAGCCAAAACTAACAGAAAAACACCTTTATTAGACAAATATTAACAGTTCAATGTAAAAATCAACCCTACGGCACACTGTTTCCCTGATCATATTCGCAGCAGCACAGACACTGCAAAAGGATTACAGTAAGATGCTCGAGGGCCTGGATTTCATACCTCAAGCCAAACTGTTATCCAAATATTCACAGTTTTCAGCAGGATCAGATGGTTTCTTGTTTTCAGATTCAGGGAGCTCCTCAAAGCTGTTGTTTGTGTGTGCAGTTGTAACACTGAGCCCTCCATGCCTTCCAGGGTCCTCAGTATGCACCTCATCCATGGTGCTGCTATTTCGATCCCCTCTTTCATTTGGAATTTCACAATCGCTCTCTGAGGTTTTGTCATTGTCTTTCAGGGCCTCAGTTTCAGCTGTTTGTTCATTCTCTGAGTTTGAGGGATCTGTGGGGTTGGATGGGTCAGGGCTGGAAAGTGGGAACTCTCCCTCAGATGAACCGTTAAGCTCTGCTCCAACCACCCTCTTCTGCTCCCCTGCAGAAGTGCCTGCTCTTTTCCCTTCCAGTTCTGCAACTGCCTGCTCTGTCAGCTTAATTATCTGACTTCCAAGCTTGTTTATTTCTTCTTCCTCAGAAGGTAGTTGGGGTAATGAAGGATAAAAATGTTTAGTTTGGTTTCTGTTATTTAAGTTTGTTCCCTCTGGAGCCAGGGACGCACTTGCAACAGCACAAGTTTCAGCACGTTCTCCCTTCTGTTCTGCTGAAAGAGAAATGGAATAGCAAGATGCTCTAGTGAGTCACAGGTATTTATGATATATCTCACCTGAAGACCATCACCACCAGTGCCAGACCACAGAGAAATTCACCTCAGTAAGTAATTTCTAAGAGTGATTCCCTACCGCATCCCAGGCCCGTTTCTTAGATGATAAGCAATCAACACTAAGTTTCTTGCTGGATCTGGCCCTGTTTTGGAGCCTGTCTTTCCCTAACACCAACAACTCTAACAGTCATAGTGGATACTGTACTGTAGAACAGCAGGGTCATTTTTTTTCAGAGGAATATAAACTCTAAGCAATGCACTCAGCTACAGAAATTTTTGGCACAGCTTAACATTAATCCCCACATCGCTACCACCTTCAGGGGTTAACACAAGCTCCATTTATTTGGAGCTTTTCACAGGCTTTCCTCTAATAATGAAGTTTCATTATTGGTCCTGCAACATTTTTCCTAACATAAAAGATAATTCTTATTTGGGCAACAGCATAAAACAAAGCAGCAGTGGAAGGATTTTAAATATACCGTTATACCAAAAGGCAAACACTGAACAAAGTGTCAGAATAGAGAAAACAGCAATGTGTAAACACACAGCTTTGTCAAAGAGAGAGAATTTGTCCTCATCTCAGTTAAGGACAAAAAGCCTCATTGAAAATAAGCGTGTGAAGTCAAGTAAGAAAAATTAGGAAATGCCAGAAGTATAGCTGCATTGACAGCTTAAAACGACTCTTGTCATGCAGATGCATTACCTTTTAGTATGTGAGCATTTACACTATTTCTCCCACAAGAATCCTGCCTCATGCAATGCACAGGACAGCCTGGCTGCAGGGACGGACCAGAGCTACACAATACAGAAGCCTACAGTCTCTATCAGACCGGCCTCATTTGCAATTTGGGAGCTACCGAGTGAGTGAGACAAGGGTTGGCATGAAGGGAACAGACACTCTTACTACCATTAAGGAAGCTAGGAATGCTACTCTGAAGAGCTGGAATTTAAGTTATGTGGAAAAGGCAGGGATAAATTAATTTTCAAAAGGTGATCACCCACTGGATCTAATCCTCATTATCTGAGCACTCAGCTGGAAACCTAGGAGCTTGTTTTGCAGTACTGCTCTGCTCCTGTTGTATATCTGAACACACATACTCAAAGTGCTCCAAAAAGAGCCAAAACTTATGTACCTCAAATTGGCACTCGAAATTAGCAGGCACTCTACCTTACTCTTTGTGTACCTCAGTTTCTCCCCTCTGCAGTGGGATAACACCATCCCATCACCTTGCTGCAATTTTCTGAAGATAAGTTGTTTCAAAGCACTGTATCACCAGAGAAAAGTTCATAGAAAAACAGTACTTTTGTCTTCAGGGAATGCTTGAAATAGCACACAGGCAATACAGCAGGAACAATGCATTTGACAATGAAGAGGGAAAAAACCCAAATAGCTGTTCATTAGCAGCTGTGATGCTCAAGTACAGTCTATCCCACCACACTATCCGTCCTGTGCATTGGATAAAATGAGATTTGGTGGCAGAAGACAGTCTTTAATTCATATGATTACACTATGTCATTATGCATTTTAACACAGGAACTGCACAGTATATCCTACAGATTTCTACCATCCAGCTTAACTGAAACAATGATAACAAGTACAGACTAAAACAGGCCTTGATGAGACCAGGGTAAGCAGATAGATTAGATAAAAAAAGCCTGAAAAAGTCCTCTGATTACCTGTAGATCTAGCTAGAACAACACTTGATGTATAACAGAAAGTTCTGATAAAGAATGTATGTTAGTGCAAAAGCTAAAAACATTTCCTGGGCCAAACAGGCACCAAATATCAATGGTACTATTTAAAGGAACTATACCTGACCAACATGACGTCAGGCCTAGTATTTAAAAATACTGTCCTGGTTTCAGCTGGGATAGAGTTAATTGTCTTCCTAGTAGCTGGTATAGTGTTATGTTTTGAATTAGGTATGAGAAGAATGTTGATAACACACTGATGTTTTCAGTTGTTGCTAAGTAATGTTTAGTCTGAAGTCAAGGATTTTTCAGCTTCTCATGCCCAGCCAGCAGGAAGGCTAGAGGGGCACAAGAAGTTGGGAGGGGACACAGCCAGGGCACCTGACCCAAAGTGGCCAACGGGGTATTCCATACCATGGGATGTCACATCTAGTATATAAACTGGGGGGAGTGGGGTTGGGGGGAATTGCTGCTTGGGGACTAACTGGGCATCAGTCAGCAGGTGGTGAGCAATTGCACTGTACATCATTTGTACATTCCAATCTTTTTATTACTACTGTTGTCATTTTATTAGTGTTATCATTATTGGTTTCTTCTTTTCTGTTCTATTAAACTGTTCTTATCTCAAGCCACGAGTTTCACGTCTTTTCTCGATCCTCTTCCCCATCCCACTGGGTGAGGGGCGGGGGGGAAGCAAGTGAGCGTCTGCGTGGTGCTTAGTTGCTGGCTGGGGTTAAACCACGACACATATGTAAGAATTTCATTGCTATTCTGCTTAATCAACTGTTTTCACTCAAGTATCATTCAAGTAACAGGAAAAGAAAGTGGTTTTGTTTTTATTTCTGGAATACTTTTAAACCAAGGGCATACTCGCTTGGTAAATGAAGGCAGGTGAACACATTCCTATGTTCTTCCCAGCTGCCAAGCTCCCCCAGATTTTGAAGGTACACTGTATAGATGAAAAATTGCAATATGCACCAAGCTTCTAAAACTCAACAGCAGACAGTCATTCTCTCTTCAGAGTGGCACAAAAGGTGACTCAGTGTATCACTCCCATATAGCTGCTGACTGCAGGGAAGCTGTGTGACTCCAAGCAGAGGGACATGCCCTACAGCTGAAAACACACTGCTTCTTTTCCAGGCTTTGAAGGAAGATGGCAGCCCCAAACATCCTCCAGAAAAAGAAGAAGTTACTGTTGCTCCAGCTACTGCTAGAAGCTATGGTGTTCCCTGCACAGCTGGTAGTATATATGTGCTCATCTATGTCACTGAAAAGTTGGCCCAGTTTATTTAAACTATCACAGAGGTGAGTTTTGTCTGAGTTCTCACTGCAGGTTGTCAGGTATACTGGACCACATGCAACAGGAAAAATCAAGCTGTTTGTGCAGGCAGAACAGTAATTTCTTAAACTACTCCAGTTTAATGACAAGATTTCTGTGATTGATCTTGGCTCTTTTACAGTTATGGGATGGGGAGGAGGAAAGAGGGTGAAGACCTCCTGGGAGCTGATTCTTCCCATGACTGCCACAGGCCTAATCCTCGTCTGCTTTCTCCCCTCCAAGGCTGTTTTCTTCTACTCTTCCCCTGCCTAGCTCTTTGCTCCTGCCCTATATCTCTTTGTTTATCTCTGCCCATTTCTCATCCACCTTTCAATCTTTTTTATCACACCTTGCTTTCACTGTCAGCATTTTGATTCCTTGCTCCTGTGCTCTGACCTCTGCTCAGCCAGATGCAGGTCCCCCCTCACTCAGACTTCCTTCGACTCTGTCAATCCCCATTTACTCTAGTCTCCCCATCACTTGAGATTCCTGATCTCAGCCTTCCTTTCCTCTCTGCTCCAAGTTTTGCTCCCTCTAGACGGTGCAGGCAGAGTTTTACCAGTGTTGGTGGCACAAAGCAAGCTTAACAGAATCATTGGTTTGGTTTTTGTTGTTTTTAGCAGATGAGATTTGAAAGTGAATGATTTAGAATGGGGTGGAAACACCAGCCTGTTTTCTCAGGGTGGAAACCTTTTCCCCAGATTTCAAATTCCTTTCAATTATACATATACTAAATGCTTGCATGTTTAAAAAAAAAAACAAACAAAACCAAACACCAAAACCAAAGGAAAAAACCCACAAAACCCACATGGTCATCAGAATTTAACACAAAAAACTGACTTGGCTGACTTTACAAAAATCAGCTGAAGTAGAAAACACAGCATGGAAAGCTTCAGCCCAGAGCTAAATTTTGGCAGTGTTACAAAGCAACAGAAACAGGGTCTGATGAGATTTGACAGGCAGCTTTAATCAAAACTGTAATACCAACCTCACCTAGGACAAATAAGTAAAAGAAAGAGCATAATGCCACCAAGTAAATACTTTTAGTAACTGCAGATTTAATTAAAAAACAATGATTAAGGAGGCAAAAAAAATGAATATTTATGAGTTATTCTTACTCATTGGAGAACCATTCACTATAGTTTCACTTCTTATTTTTAGCAAAAATATCAGCTGATCAAGATTATAAAAAACGATCGGTCTGGCTGTCAAGTTTTATCAGATGATGACATGGATAATAAAGTAAAAATTAAGCCACAATCTATTTAGTTTTAGGACTAACAAATAAATAGTTTATGATGTTTCATGGTTAGCTGAGTAAGATCTGGGCATACCAAAAATGTTATGCCCATTAAAGAGCTTATCCAAATGCTGATAGGCAAGCATAATAATCCATCTCCCATCCATTATGAAAAACTAAGGAAAAAAAATTAAGGTTATCAGCAAAGCACTATCTCCTGCTACTGTCAAATAAAGTTAAGCTTGACTTTGGAGAGATGTTAAAGCTTGCTATTGGGGAAGGACTTTTAACAAAACACATGCAAGACTATAAAAAAAGCAGTCAATTTCTCTGGGAAAACGAGTCGGGTATTTCAATTTATTGGGTGCAATCAGGAAGCCTTTCATCTAGGTATCAGCTATAATGCAGGAAAGTGCTAAGCCAGTTCCACAGACTGCTTTCCTACTGTGCATTTTAACTGAGGGAAAAAGAGCAGGAGGCAGTTAACTGTAACATAGATGGCATGAATAACTTCTCACAGTATCAAGTTATCTGGCAGGAAAATTCTTTGAGGTGTTAAGACCTGATCCCTAGCCCTGTGCAATCTATTCAACAGTCATTTTTCAGTCGTTTCTTTGCTATTTGTACTGGGACCATCTATCCATTTTACTTGTGGATGATTTATTCATCTCTGTGACCACTGAAACTTTGCCTTCTGCTATGCCAGCATGAAAATTTATTACTTTTTATTTGGAAAGAAATGAGTGCTCAGGTCTCATCATGTTCCTTACGTGCCAGGTGCTCACCTTGTACTTCAGTTTTCTGTGGCTTATCAGTAAACACTAACAACGTTGACCTGGACTGCTGTATAACAGGCAAGGTTGGGTCACTGAATGTTATGGTATCCTTTCCACCTGAAACAATCAAAGAGTTAGAACCATTAATTCACCAATTACATCCATTGTGGACTAATGATATTCAAACATCCTACAACTGTTTTCTGTACTGAAAAGTACAGAACGGGAAAAGCATCTCAAATGATCCTCCTACAGCATGGAAAAAAATACTCTGTACTGGAGCTGGAATATGCAAGTCAAATACAGAAAAGGTGTTTGTTTTTACCTGCAGTACTGAGTAAAGGACAGATTTTGAAAGAAGACCAGGTGCTGTATGCAGCAAATTGTATTAGCAATTAGCATTCAATTCAGAATATTAATGATCAGATCATACCAAAAGTTTTATAAAGAGTAATGGATCATTTGCATGCTATTACCAGCAAGTGTTCAGCACTGACTCTTTACTCTCTTATTACTCTGCCTCAGTGATGAACCAGCTCGTATCACATATATAGTTTTACAGTACAGACTCACACACATATTATCCTACAATGCTCCCTTTAAAAAAATATTAAAAGCTTAGCATAACTAAGAACTGATGGAGCAAACAAGTATACTTGGCTAGGGAACAGGAGGGATTTTAATCTGAAAATTCCAAAAACATTTCTGAGCATTTTCATTTTAAACCAAATGGAAAAGGGCAATTTTCCAGCTCTTTTGCAGACAAAATAGTGCAAGAAACTCTTCAGCTGAGGACTCTGCTGTAGATGCCTAGTCTTTACATATTCTAGCCATACAGAAAGCAACACCTGCAGACCCTTTAGGAAGTCCTCCACTATTCAGGATGCTCGTGTTTTTAGTGACTGACACTACCTTAAACCTAGAGGGGAGATGGCAGGAAATGTGCAAGATCAGCTAAGCGTGGTGTTTGTGTGGCCTCCAGAACAACTGCCAACTGATAAGTAATGGCTGGGGAGGCGGCAAGCTACTGCTCTATTTATCTCCATAAGAATGGACATTTATGTAACAACCACTTCTCCCCTCTAAATCTGTTTGTACGTTTCACCTTAAGGCAACATCCTAAATCTAATCACCCACCCCAGACAAAGACTTTCAAAAGAGCACCAGGTCAGGAGATCCATGGAATAAATCCAGCTCTGAGAAAGTTCTGGTACCTAGTAAGAAATAATGAAAGTCAAGCTGTTCCCATGGAGTCTAACTGGACTACCCCAATCCCTAACTACTTTTGAAAGCACTGGCTATAAATACCTTGATCCTGAAGGTATTAATGACATTTTTATATCCTTAACATGTTGGGGTATATACTGCAGCAATATGAATGCAATTAATGCTTTTGAAACATGGATCTCGTCAAGCTTTGATCCCCCTGTCAAGTATGCATCAGAATTCTTCCTTCACCATAGCAAGTAATAAAAAATAATATTAACTAAAGCAAAGTGAAGAATACCCCCAGTGTAAGGCAAAATTAATTAAAATGGGGAAAAAAAAAAAGGGGGCAAAACAAATCCAATGGCTATTTCAAAATGCAAAAGCGCCTAGACAAATGCACTTTCCTGCTAACAATGAAGGAATTTTGTGTTGGAAGAACTAAATCATACAGGGAACTAGTGGTATGAAAACATCCAATAGATATTCATACACAGTCAAAAGTAACCACATATCCAAAAAGAATCCAACAGAGGAAGTAAAATTGAAAAAGATGATGACTAAAAAAATTGGGCAAGGGAGCTTTAACAGAGAAAGCAGAGTCGTCTTCTTTTGGAATAAAAGAGTAAAGCCTGAGCTAAAGTCCCTGAAGATTGCAAGACAAGCTTCAAAAAAGAAACTTCTTGACTTCCAGCCAGCATTTACACAGTAAACACATTTACTTTCACATTTTTCTCTGAAAACCAACTTGGTTACTGAAAATAAAGCTAAGCTCAGTATCCACACATCTAAGCAACAGATGTGGCCCAAAGAGTCCGATGCATATTTATTTATTAACAGCGACTCACATCCATTCATGAAGGAGGGGCATGGGGGTATTGCTGCACTATATTCTGTGAATCATGATCTGAAGTTGGATTACACACAGGGAATTTCAATTAGCTGCCATGTAAGCTCAATTTCATAACTTACATAGCTTTGTGTTCCTCTATTCAATGAAATTTTCGAGGACTTTAGTGAGACCACAGATCTCAAAATAAGCAGACAGATAAGTTTTCAGTAGTAGTAAATTCGTCATTTTTTTCTCCAGGGATGGGTATCCCTTTATAACCTCTGCTGCACCCTACACCACTGTAACTGGCTATACCCACAGCAGCTGCTGAGACCATTAATTCTACCTTGCCTCTGCTCCACGCTGATTACTGCAGAGCAAGAGGCAGCACCAAAACTTTCTTATCATCCCAGACAGAAAAAGGCTGAGTCATAGTCAGCTCTTTTCTTAGGCTCTTTTTCAGTGGAAATCTGGAATTTTCAGGAAATGATAGGTTTTTAAAAAAATACAGAATTACTTATCTGAATGTCTAGTGACAAAAAACTGTGAGAGGAATAAGGTGGTGTTTACTATGTACTATTACTGAATACATTTATCATATTATGCATGCATATTTGAACCACAATGTACCTAAGACAAAGCAAAGAAATGCTTCTGCGAACATCACATTCTCTGCTTTCTTCTCAAGGCAAGTAGGGTCATAAAAAAAAAAAAATCAGAGCCAAATCTATGCCCATGCTTGCCTTCTTTTCAGCAATGAACGTTGCAAGAGATTCGTCTAATTAAAGCCCATTTTCCAAACAGGGGAAGCTAAAATTTGTGGTGAGCAGAACTTCTACAGAAAATGAACTATACTACCAGTTTCACCATTTCAAAAATTAAATACACACTTCCTTTTGATTTAGCTTCCCCATAGTTCATTCATGCATTGCTTGAAAAGCAGATGACAAATAAGTCACCTAACAAAAAATCAGAAGTGGTCAAGCTCTTTCTTCAATAGGGTAAAGTTTATTAACATCATTTATTAACACCATTTGGAAGATATTAATACCATGGTGGCAGTGGATGTTATAAATGTTATATGGACAATGATGCCTAAGTAGGAACGTTAACTTCAGATTAAAAACCTGCAATTTATAATGTGCGTTTCTTTCAGTGCTAGACTGAACATCAGCTTTCATCTGCGTATTTTTTCCAATGACAAAAAGTTCAACTCAACCAAATAATAATTTGTTCTCTCTGGATTTAAGACTGACTAGATGAGATACTCTCCATATTCTGCCCCTCACCCAAGCCAACATTGAGCTGCAGAGTCCACTGTGGTAGTTCCCACACTATTTGTTACATGCTGCTGTTTTATGGAGCGGAAGCTTTCCACGCTCTGAAAAGAAAATTGGTGACCCACCAGGTGTTGCAAGGCTGTTTCTGACCACCTTGGGACTAGAGTGCACTTGGAAAAAAAAGGGCACTCTTGATTTAAAAGGCAAGCAGCAAATCAACAAACCTTGGGGCTCAACAGAACTCGCAATCCAGTGTAAAATTCCTTTACAATTTAAGATCATCCTTTCTTACTATTTTCCTCAATTTAAAGGAATTGTCTTGTAGAGCAGCCTTCCTCTCTCTTGTGGTCATCTAACTCACTTGACTGAGCATCTTAATCTGCCCAATATAAAAATGTTCAGATAACATTTGTGTTTGTTTACATGCAGTGACAATATTTAACGTACTGCTAAAATCAGTTACTAAAAATATATGTTAAGCAGAACCTACTCCCAAATCCCACTGAGACATTGTAGCTCAGGCCTTCAGGCAGCAAAAGAAAGGAAGGAAAGAGACAGTTGTTATTGTATAAACATTAATTTGATGTCTTACCTACATAGACCAACAATGGTGCAAGAAGTTCCCATTGTTCCATTTTTTTTAATACATTTTGCAAAGATTAGAAACACTGCATTTATTAGTGTATGAATTTCATGGAACACTATTTTTGGGGGGGAAAAAAAAAAAAAGCCAAACCAAACAACCCTACAGTACCTTAAACTGGGGAGTATGATACACATCTGTACTAATGTACAGAACTGCATTACCAGGGTCTTAGACAAATATTTCACCTGCATCTTTTGGAAAATGTGGGGAGGGACAAATGCACTAATGTTAGGTGACTAAATGAAGAGTAATCCATGGAAACAAATGTGCGACCTTCAGTTCTGGAAAGTGTCAAGACAAGAGCCAGTTCCAGAAAGGTGATTGAGAATGCCTACAACGGCCAAGCTAAAGTGGAAATACACCACATCAGGCCAAATGGTTGAACAGCATAGGTTTGTCACGAGGTCTTTTCAGCTTTGTCAAATGTTTTCTTCTAGATGGAAAGGTTAGGTGGAAAAAACAGAGACAAAAAACTAGAAGCCTAAACCACACTTATCTCCCACCCCCAGCAGCACTTATAGGAAGCCATAAACAACAAAGCCTAATGATGCAAACACCAACAATGGAGCAGCATAATTTACAGTGGTTAAAGAAGACACAATTAGGTGTAATGAGAAGAAAAGAAGCAAAAAGTAAATGTAAATTAAATATTGCACATTTTCCTAACAGCGAGGTCTATTAGGAAGCAGATTAATCTCCCATTACTTGAGTAATTCAAACCCAAATACAATACTTAAGATGCTACAGGGAATAAGCCTGTTCTGGAGAGACGGACTAGAAAATTTAAGATCATTTACATTTCTAATTTCTCAGAGTTTATGATTCTACAGAAAAACATTAAAAATACAGCAATAAAATTCATGGAAGTTACAAGAAGTACAAAATTAATAAATAAAATTTGTTGAAAAACATAATGGTCAATATCCTGTGTATCATTTTATATAACTGTTTAAATAAAATAGTTCCCTTTTTTTTGCCTGCAGACTATGGAGACAATTTGATTATTTCCAGTATTTAAAACTTTTTTTTTTTTTCAGTATACATATTTGAATTAGAGTTTAAAGAGTCTACTGATTTTTGGTTTCAACTTAACATTTATTAGAAGTTTCTAATCTTGCAAATGTGCTGAACAGCACATTTGTAAAATAACTGTAATTAAAAAAATTATAGCCAAGCTTTTTGTAAATGCAAATATACCCTCGAAAACTAAATAATGCAAGCTGTTCTCTTGAATTTTTACTAACCTGGAAGACTCCACAAGCCAGCGATTTCCAAAGTTCTTAATTTCTTTTCTAGTTCTGCCACTCGATTCCCTAGAATTCTTCAGAAAAAGACAACAAAAACAAAAGCCAGGGACAGTCAGCTGAGATGAGATTCCTTGTTACACTAAGGTAACCAAAGCCCAATTGCTTACATGACTACAGTTGAATTTTTAAATTGTTACTTGACTAGTGCAGTAAACCTGTATACAGTCATCTCTTTTCACTAATGGCTTTGGACAACCTCCCCCAGAGTTAAAAGAAAATGAAATATAGTTGTCTAATCTATCCCATGGTTTTTAAAAAAAAAGTCTAGGATGTACTAGACATTCAGCCTTGGCCCTTCAGTAAAGACAAAGAACACCAACTCACAATATTTCTACTTCATTGCCCGCAAATGTCTCTTCCCAGTTACTCTTACTTTCTCTACAGCTAAAACCAGAAGGTAAAAGCTATGCAAACAAAATATGGAAAACTCAAGGCAGCATCTAGATTGATTCTGAAGTTCTAAGGCACAATTTTGGGCTAGCCCTTTATTCACAGAGGTTTCTCTTATCACTAAGATTGCTTAAAATGGCAAGGAATATCTTTTCCACTACATCTTTTCTTTTAGTGCTGAACTCTGTTTTCTACTTTACTAAAAAGCTTCAAGCTCTTTAGTGCCTTTATCACCCACTCTTAGCTTTCACTGCATTTCTTGGGTCATCTCTTCTTTTGTATCTGATTCCTACACAAATACTATTTGCAGTTAGCCCTCCTGCAGGATTTAACTTTTAGTCTTAATTCTCTCCCCAGATCAAATGAGAGATTTCTATCTTGTAAAGAAAGCCCTTTTTTCCAATGAATTTTTGAAAGTGTTTCTCTCACAGGCACAGCAAGTCTCCTGGAATCAGAAGTCTGAGTAAATCCCAAACAATACTCAATAGAGTGAGAAACCTAGACGAAGCAGCAATTCTAAACATGACAGCAGAGAAAATGGACAGCAAGTTTTATTCATCAAATTACAGCAACAGGGTAAGTCAGTTAAATTTGAACTGAATGCTGAGAAAAGCAGGATATCACAACACAGCAAGGCAACAGTACCTTCCCATGCTCACCAGAGCTGTGTAATACTGCACTGCATGCTCTCCAGCGAGGGTTTTGTGCTGCAGACATTTGAGCATACTGGGAATGTCACTACTGACAAGATGGCAGAATCTGGGAAGGGCGTGAAGAATAGCAACCTCAGCAAATATCAAAGGGGCTAGAAAAATTGATTAACAAGGACTAAGTATTTTTGAAATGTCTACTGTGAGGGCTCTACAATGACACAATAAAAGCCTGTAAGTATTTTAAAGATTACAAAAAGAGAAAGAGAAAGATTATAACAAGTATCAAAGAAAGCACTGAAAGGTATGGGGGTGTGTATCGGCTAAAAAGTAAACAGTCCATCACGTTTACAAGCAGAGGAGAGAAGACATTTGGGAGCAGTTAGGTTTGTTTCCCCATTGAAACTCAGTAATCAAAGAGGTTACTCAGGTTACGACAGATCTATTACTGTCTTCTCCAATTACAATCAAAATTGTTCAAGTCTAGATTTCACTTTCGGAATGCTTCCATCTGGTAGGAGAGACTCAGCCTTAATACCTCTGTTTCCATATCCCGGTGTACGGCCCAATGCCCAGCAACTGCACTGTGCAGTACAAAGCAACAGGTGATGGAGAAAGGCACAAGAGCAACTTTCAGGGAGCTCTACCTTGTGCGCAGGCAGCCCGCTCCCATTTCCCTGTCTAAGGCCCCACCAAGGGTCAGCTGAAGGACATGGAGTTCCACTGGCTTAGAGGGGCAGGGAACAGGCAGAGATGATGCAAGACTTCTTCTGTGTTATGTTAGCTCAGCCAGGGAGCTGACAAAACAACGGTGATGTGGCTAATGATTGTCACCACAAACAGGTCACAAGCTTAGAGCACTTCTGCCAGGAGAAGAAAAAATCCTTATTATTTTCATAAGTAGTTCACCAGTAGTTCCAGGGCAGAAAAGGGGGGAAAGATACTGCCCTCCCCGCCAGCTAGCCGTGTCACAGAAGGGAACTCAACCCTCTGCATCAAGTTCAGTTATTTCTACTGCTCTTGTTATTCAGACAACAATAGCAAAGTCACTTTTCTCTCGCTTCTCTTAAAATTTATAGTTCATTTATCAGCTGTAGCACACTATTTCTAAAGGTTTTGGAACAAATATATCCTGGTAATTCCTACTGGATCCTGAGAAGAGACACTGAGCTATTTTTTAACCTTTGTTGCAGGTTCTCACATAGAAGGATCATTCTGCAGCTCTGAACAACAGTTGGCAAAAAGAGAGGACAATACTTAACCCTGGTCCTTTCATTCAGGAAGACAGCAAAATACATTCAGTGACGTGTATGATTCTAGTTTGCTTCAAACCACAATATCAATATCTGAAGACAGGTATGGGAGGAATGAACCCCACATTAAGCTGCAAGTTCTTATAGAAACATCTTTTGAAAAATAAAATGTGTAAGCAATCCTGAACACAGCGTGGTTTATCCCATTCCTTCCTTTCCCTTGTAACCTCCAGATAATCTGCCACATCCATATGTGCTGTGGGAAGACTGAGTTGTGGTGGCCTTGAACAGTAGGTATTTTTAAAGAGGCTGCATGGGTTGGTAGCATCAAATTCTGATCTATTTTTTTTATCTCTAGCCACAGTGGAGTAGATCCTTCGACTGAAACAGAAGGGTCACGTCATGGACAAAGGTGCTGATAGCTATTTCCATTGTCCTCTGGTCATGTGTCTAATGCAACAAGGGAGTTAGCCTAAACCTCCCTCCAGGATAAGGTTTTACAGAAATCTGTTGTTCATGTAACGGCAGCAATGCTCCTACCTGAATTCTGAAGCTCCCTTCTGGATCTCCCGTGCTTCCTAACATACCTGGCCATAATCTGTAGGGAGCTGTGCTGATTTACTGCACCTGAGCTCCATTCACCTCACTTTCAATTTAGATCTTGCTACAGAAGACATATACCCTCATACAGATACAATCACCCAAATGTCTGTAAATAGGGTCTGTCACGGTCACATATCTAGTTCTATATATCACATGGAAACATTTACCCAGTTACAGACTGACACAATTCTTTTTGTAATTTTGGTCATGACCAAGCTTGCCCAAGTTAGAAATGTTAAAATTAGTGCAACATGTCTAAGCAGCAGAGCAGCTTCTACACTAATCTGGCTTGCATGGGTGCTGCCAATTTCAGGAACAAATTGCCCTAAAAAGAACATCTAATAAATGGTTTATTTCTGGCAGAAGAAAAAAAAAGATTTTTATCCACTTTCTAGGCAGGGTTAGGACTGTTTATTTTTGCATTTATGTAACTATTTAATTTTGAAACACATTACTGCATACAGAATTCATTTACAACTACTTTTTCAAATTAAAAGCCAATGCACTTCTGAAGAAAAACATACAACATTACTTAAACTTAGCAGTAATAGCCACCAATCACCTAGGGAAAATGACCTGTTTTCTTCTCAAACAAGTTATTTTTTTCTTAAAAGTGAGACTAAAAAAATAAAGACTGGATTTAGCCTACTTGTTCCTAGGCACATACTCCCACAGCTCCTTTGATCATGCCACGTATTTAGAAAAGCAGCAATAATAATAGTGTATCTGTTCCAAGAGCAAGTGGCAACGGATGTTTTCAACAACAGTGTAACAGCAGAAAGTCAACTTCAACAGCAGACCCACATTCTAATGTACATTAAAAAAATCCACTGTCTTGTTATTGCTTCAGTTAATCAGAAAGCAAATCTACCATTCTGCTATTGTAAACTTTCATACCCATACCTTAATCTGCAAACAACAAAAGAGGTTTTGACTTTAAAATAGGTTAACTGTTTGGAGGAAAATAAGTTCATATGGTCTGAAAAGTCTCATTTACTAGTAATAGAATCACTAATAAGTCAATCATCTATCAAATATCAAAAGCAGAACTTCTTCCCTGAATGAAACAACCACCTCAAAATCTCAAGTTCTTTACCCAATAAATCTCACTTTCTTCAAACAACCACCTCAAAGAATAACTGTGTCCTCCAAACATGGTCTTTCTGCAGGAAAAGCCAAGCAAACAGGACAGAGCGGTGAAGGAGAAGACTACCTTCTGATTTATGACCTTTTGCCATTACAATTCTCTCTAGACCCACATCCTTCTCATTTTCTTACTTTGAATGGAGAAATGTCTTCATCAAAAGAATGCATCTTCTACTAGTACCAGTCTATGGACCTGTCTGTTTTACTTGTGCACTGATGTCATTCTCACCTCTAACCTCCTCTGACAGGTGGGCAGTTTCTTCCCCATTTCCAGAAGTCAGCAGTATTTACTTGTAACTTTTTACTTGGCAAATAAATGCCCCCAAAAAACAGCTAATGCACCTCAAATAAAGGATGTTTCTCTGTGATGTCCTACCTGCCTTTCCCTTTTTCACTTTAACTCTTGTGTCTTGTTTCTACTTGAAGTAGTTTCCATTCCTCCTAGCTCCTGAAAAGCTTCTTTAATCCCACTAACGCCAAAGGTGACAAAAACAATGAGCATACCACACAGGAGCGTTGCTGAGGCTCTTCACTCAACTTGCCCAGGATTTATTTTTCTTTTTTTTTTTTTTCCCCTGAAGCATCCTGAACTGAATACAACACTACAGCTCTGAGCACACTCCTGACCTGGGAGAGATGTGGACTGTCACCTCCAAGACCTGATCTTCTATTGGGCATAGAATACTAGTTTGTGCACAGATCCGATCTCTACTCCTATGAGCAGTTGGGCATGCAGATAAAAAGAATCATATCTTCTTGTGAAGACTTATCTCAAGAAAACCTGTACTCAATAGTTGAAAGCAGAGACAGTGGTATCAGAAAGTAAAGCCATCATTGCAATGGTACATTTGAGAGATGCAAGAGACTGCACGCGATCAGAGAGAGATACAAAATTAAGAAGTTTTCTATAGTTATGGGCAAGAGTACGCAAACTAGAACATGAGGTAATGATACAGTATCACGATATAAAAGGCAAAGATTGGTTATACCTGGAATAACAAAAATTGTTCTCTGGATGTTTTCCTTCTCATGTTACATTAGCGGTAAGAAGGGAGCAAGGTGTAGCCCTTCACTAGCACTGCTCAGTGCAGGAATTCCTCTTGCATTACAGGACACACTTATAGACATGAATTAACTGAGCTGCCGTCACTTAGATCTGGGCTGCATTTTCACTGCTTTAGTCTCCCTTTAGCTGATTAGGCATTTGCCTTCTCAAGAGTATTAAGAGTGGCTATAAACTGCTCCTCCACTTCTGTTGCCACATCACTAAGAATTATGCAATGGAGTCTGCCTAGTATCAGAGTTATCAATTTTCAAAATGAATCATCTATTCTAGTGCAATACAGTTTACTTCAGTACTACTCCTTCCTTTCATGAAAGATGTCTGCCTGTTTCTGGCATCTGGTCCTGATGTGCTTTTGAGAAGCCTGAATAACCTCTGATTACTAGTAGTGACTCAGTGTTAAAAAAAAAAAAAAAAAAAAAAAAAAAAAAAAAAAGCAAAAAAAAAGAGCACAGAATCAAGGAACACTTCCTAGCTGTGATTTTCATACACTGTAAAAGGACAATAATATCAGAATGTCAGAAAATGTGTCAAAAATTATTATATTCTGCAATGATAGGAGCTGTACAAGACACAAAGAATTCTACTGATGAGTAGAACAGCTAAGAGTAAACAAATCCTCTTTGAAAGTTCAGTTCAGATTTTTTAAAAAAATCATATAGTAGCAATCCAACTGTGTTTATCTCCTACAACTCTTGGCAAAGTAACTATAGGAGCAACAGCTATCATTTGTATGACACATAGGCAGCTAGCCTGTGACAAATGTTACACTAAAACTTTTCAGATCCTTTCCTAGGTGCAACATTTACTACTCCCACCAGTGTTCATTAGCAAATGCCTACATTAAAGACCAATTATCCCATATCTTCTCCTCCAGTTCAAGGGTGTCCTTCCTCCCAGCAGCTTTTCTTTAGCTCTCCCTACAAACTACTTGCTAGAAGTTCCCTCTGTGTTATTATGGTTTGTCCCAAACCTGAGCAGCAAACCAACCCTTGCCTAGCAGAGGCAGACAGGTCTCTGTCAACCCCAGACTTTACTTTGAAAATGTAATTTTTCTCTAAACACATACCTGATCTTAAAAACTAAAAAAACCACCAGTTAACAATGACAATGCATTTTTTGTGAAAATGGACCTTCCTTCCCATTTTCCTGAAAATCCCCCAAAACCATAACTTTCCATAGCTTGGTAAGTTCTGTTTTACTTATAAGTCATGCTACCTACTTGTTGGTTTGCCTTTGGTGTTGTATGACCATGTTTTTTTCATGGATAGTTTCCAGCAATGCAGTGGCCAGTGATTTGAGATCTGAAATGGACTGTGGTGTGGCTGGTAGGCTACATCCATGATCCTCCGACAACAACTCTTGGACTATAATGTTAAAAACACAAATGAGTTTTGGCTTCTCATGCACAGAGATGTGACACAAACATTTACTTAGCATTAAAGAACTATTCTCATTACTTAAATGAATACTTTTTTTTTTTTCTTCAATTAACAAAGCCAAAAGACCAAAAATACAATCTCCAGCTCGCATGAAGATGGCGGCTTTCTACGCTCATCATTATTCTACAGCAATTGCCAGAATAAGTATAGGCAGACACATCTTATGTTAACTTAATTCTGCTTTTGGAAAATTACTTTTGTTCAGAAGGAAACAAACTCATTCTTCTACAGGCCTACAGACTGGTTAAAATCAGTCATTTCTCTCCCACTTACATTAAAACATAAGCCCACAAGGAAGTCTTTGTATTACTTTTTAGAACTATTATATCCTTCAGGTTATTTAAGATTGATGTGAAAATACAGTCACTCGAGCTTTTCCTCTGCAGCTTAGAGCCTGCACCTCTCAACCACATCAGGAAGTTCACTAGTATCATTAGCTTCTGTAACTAGAATCTGACTCTGCTTCTTTATATATATATATTTTTTTTTTTTTTTTATATATATATATGTGTATGTATGCAAGTAAGTGGAGAAGAGGACAGAAGAGAAGTCAAAAACAGAAAAGTGAGTTTCAACCTACCATGACAAATACTACTGATCTCATGTGTGTGTATGAATACACCTGAACAGTAGGGTGCCAGGTATACTGTTTTGCTCAAAGAATTTTTACTTCCCCTTTCTTTCCTAATCTTGATATTTTCTTTGAAGGGGGAAAAAGAGATTACTCCATTTCGCTGCCCATGAAGAAACATGGGACAAAAGGATTTCTTGCAAAACATCTGAATGTAAAAGCTTCCAAGAACAGTAGCAGAAAACCTGACTTAAGGCCCCTCCTCTACCACCCAGTCTATTTTTCATTGGAATATGAATTGTGATTGCCATTGTTAGCAGAGCAAAGAGATGAATAAAGAAGTGATTTGTCAGGGTCAAAGTTGCTGAGGGGTTTAGAGAGTGAAAAAAAAAAAAAAAAAAAGATAAAACTGACAGGGGAGAGAATGAATGGCAGAAGAATAACAAAAGGAGAAGCAGTACTCAAGAAGCAAATTTTATATTGTCAAGTCAACTGAGAAAAGGACAAAAATTAGCACATAATAATAAACAGGAAAGAGAAGAAAGATTTTGATTTGGTTGGTGAGGAAAGGGTTACTGAAATTAAGAGGTAAGATGGAAGGAATTCAATGAGATATGCAACACCACGCTGCATTTATGTAATACCTTGCTTTGCAGACAGGACTCCAGTCAGAGCACTGCTACTGGATCTACTATGAGTCTTTGAATTTTTTCGCCTCTCTAGTGCATTCTAAGGAAACAACAAATATCTTATTCAGAAAAACAGTAGCTAACAAATCCTTTCATTAGGAGTAAAGAATCTGGAACTTTGGATTTTGGTCTCTGAACAACTGCAGGGCCTGCAGCTTACACCCATAGTAACCTATGGGAGTGTGACTCTCCTGGAGTATTATTCTCCAGCCAAAACAGTCTTTGCAAAGTCTGTTACAAAGACTCATTCTCATTGCAATCACTTTATTGTAGTCTCTCCCACTCACTCCCCCCAGTACATTTTTAAGACTTGCCTATTTTTTAATCATTTGCTGAGTGCCAGTGAATATACTCCAGTATCCTGTAGAGAATATCAATTGGGAACAAAATCAGACTTTTCTCAGTATGTCTTTGGATAGGCTTCAAAGGGAAAGCTCAAACTTCTCTATCAGAGTTTCTAGAAGCCCTTTTAGTAGCAAATACTGACTTTCAGGAATTAGCAGCAGAATGATCCTGCTGCAGAAGTCCAGCTCTTCCAAAACAATTACAGTTCTGTGAAACCCACCAGACCACCAAGATGCTCAGTTCTCACCAATAAACTCTCTGAGAGCCCCAAGTCGTAAATGTGAACAGAAACTCAAATGAACCTGCTACTTTGAGGAACTTTGCCCATGGACAAAAAGCAATTAGTGCTGCAACTGCTTCGTAGTGACCTAAATGGTTAAAAATTCCTACCGACAGTCCTAAGACAACCCTTCTCATGCCCTGACAAGCAGCGCTCCCCTTCCACACCCCAAAATCACTTGCAGAAATAAATAGAGTGCTTGACTTCAGGGAAGAGCAAGAGTATTTTGCCCTCAGGATTCAGTCCTGAAGGTTTCATGCAAAACAGCATATATCTCAACCCAGGAACAGAAGAACAATGAAGACTTAGCAATCATTAAGAGACATGAAGAAATAGTGTGGCCATTAGGGAACAGGGAGACAAGACCCGCTTGTGACAGCAACACAGCTGCAGTCGTTCACCACACACTGCGTGACCTGCTATTCTTTACCTACAAGCAGCCTGGAAAGCTGATCACCCCCCCCCAAGCAGGAGTTCCCCACAGAACTTAAAAACAGGTACTCAAATTCATTTTTCAAAATACTTTTAATGGTTATCCCTTTGTACTAAATCAGCTAAGAAGCCTACAAAGAAGACTGAGCCTGTAGTTAAGTACACATACTAATACTTCTTGAATGTTAATGGTGGGCTTTTCTTTGAGGACACAATTTTGTTCTTTAAATGCATATGAACATGAGAATGAACAATAACCTCCATGAACAACGAAGCACAGTTTAGATGATACACTGAGAGGTGCTTACCTTATATTTAGTAATATTAGACTTAAGAAGGTTGACTTCCTCTTGAAGTTGTTTTAATCTCTCTTGAAGATACCTGAAAAAGAAATGTAATCCTTTACTTCGTGTTACCTTCAAGTACTGCCTCAAGCACTTCTCTTTACTATTTGGCATGTCCTCTCTTTGAACTACTGAGAGTTTTTTTCCCTCTGCAGTTCTGTGAGGGATAAAATAACAAAATCTTACTGCTCTTGACCCCATAAAACTTTAAGTAGGGAAACAAATTGCATCAGAAAAGGAGGCTGCCCTTCTGTTAGATTTGCCAAGCATGCTGCACAACCATTTTGTATCGGTTCTCAGGTTTTTGGGGAGGGAAGCTAAAAGGATATATTTATGTCTAGAGGAAATAGTCAGGAACCATTTACTCGTATCCTCTGTACTTGAAGGGTTGTGAGATGGACACATGAAGATTTGTATACATGTCAACACAAGACTCAACTATGCAGAACTTTTGCATTGCAATATCCATCACTTACATGGCACTTCTTATTACAAAGCAATCACAAAGTAGAAAATTCAACAGTATAGTTGAAAAATGGTATACAGTTAACTGAAACAGTACAGTTCTTCCTAATAGAGTTTATGCACTTGGATTAGATGGCTATTTCCACATAGGAAAATATCTTTTTCATGTATAAAGGGTTTATAAAATATCCTCTTTCATGTAGTGCAACTGCAGCTGTATTAAGGTTTGTGACAATTTAACTATTTTAGAGAAAAAAAATCATATCGCTGTCGGGGAGCAGGGGGCTTAAATTGATACAGAACTCTGTAGGCCACGCAAAACAGAAAAAAACCCTGGAGTTGCTGGGAGGAAGTAATGCCTTTGGTATTACACTTTCCTACCTGAAGCATAAGTCTCGTAAATGGAAAGTGTCTTACAAGATCTATTTCACTTTAAGGTAATTGTTGACATTAAGGGAGGTACCTGCTATGGCTCTGTCAGTGACTCCTCTCTGTTGTCCTTAGCAGAGACCATAAAACACATTCTTTTCCCATGGAAGTGGCAAGAATATCTGCATGGGTGATTTCACCAGCAACTTTTGTTGGCAAATCACTCCATGTTGACAACCTCTCCCTGTGGTGAGAATTATGTCCGAAACTGTTAACTCAGGGTACTCGAAGTCCCTGTTTCCAATCCAAGATTAGCCCATTACAGCTCATGATGAGTTTCTGAAGACACTGATTTTTAATATTCTTGCTTCTGGTGCCATACAGTGATGGGAATAAAAAGGTCTGCACTTCTCTTCCTTTTCCTCATTAGCTCTATTTGGAAATACCACTGACATCTCTGTACCAAATAAAACACTGGTAATTTCCTGCAGCCTAACTTTCTCAATATTATTTGATGATTAGCTACAGTACAAACAAAACAAATTACCAAAATATCTTAACTTTTATTCTTGGATATATTTTCTTTAAAGTTTTGTTGTGACTGACTTCCTGATGCTCCTGTTAAAGCAATACACTGCTTGTTCTAGGGAAACAGTAAGGTTTGCAATGCACTCACCTGTTCTCCATACATAAAGCATCTACGTCGATGATACGGTTTTCATGCCCTCCTAAGACATGATTAAGTTCTTGGTTTAGTCTGTCAGACTTATCTTGGTAAAAAGAGCGTTCCTCTTTCACATCCTGTAACTCATCCAGTGCAGCCTGAAGATCATATCTCAGAGTCTCGATCTGAGAAGAAAGGAAAGCTGTATGACTATTTTGAAGTTTAAACAAAAGATTACATAGCACCCAAACTGAAAACAGCAACAAGCACTGCATGTCTGAACAGGTTTGATTTTGGGAAGTCAAAAGTCTTTCCAAAGGTCATAACCCCTGGTACTTTTACTCTGTTTTGGTATTATTTCATTGATTTGAAGTTAAGTAACTTCAGCAGTTAGACCTATTTAACAGAATTTCTGGAAAACAACTAAAACCTAACAGTGAAAGAAACCTTAATCCATACTATAATTCTGCTACAAACATATTAAGATGGTTTTAGCATATAATTTCTAGGACTCCAGGAATGAACTCAACTGAATAAAAATCTGGCAAATTTGGAGGATGAAGAAAAAGCCTATAAGGGGGAATTTATATTAATTACGGGACTTTCAGCAATGAACTTCCACAGAATAGGAAGAAGAACTGAGGAAAGTAAAAAATAAGCCAGCATGGAGTTGACAGGGTAAACTTTGCTATTAAGCAAAAGGGTGAAGGAGTCCAGTATGAAAGATACTCAAGGACAAAGAGCTTCAAACTTCCAAGGAGAGGAAACGGAGAGCATGAGAAAAGTCTGCAATGAGTTGAGGAGTCTCCACTGGCACCTCAGAAAACACTGATAAGCCAGGAAGGACAACAAATGACTACGTAAAAAGAGGCCAGGTGATAAACAGAGAGAGTGCAAGCTTGGGAACAGAGACACCAGAGAGAATCACATTGGAAGAAGACCAAGTGCAGTCAACAGTCTTTCTGGTAAGCTAAAGTAGCCTGCACTTGAGTGAAGACTGAAACTCAAGAAATATGCACCTCCTCCTGGATCACAGAACAGCTCATTCAGGGGGGAACTGACATTGGTATGAATGAGTGTGGGAACAACAGAGAACACAAACCCCAAAAATTGTCCAGAAAGCTATATAGACAAATTGGATGCTGCATGGTACATAGTATTAATACAGACTTGAGGTAGGCAAAAGAGGTCTGATGCAAGAATTTTTCAAAAGATGGGAAGAAATAGCTAAGGGGCAGAAGGAATAGAAGACTAACAACACTTCTACAGAAAATTTGATTCAGAGGATATCTTTAGGAGATGCATCAGCCACCTCATATAGTGTTGAATACTTTTAACAGCTTTCACTGAGGAGTCTCTTTCATTGACAATATTCAATTGTCACAAGTTGTTGCTTCACATTATAAAAAGAGGAGAAACAGTAATCTAGAGAAGGAATTCCTGAGATTAGGAAACTCACTCTACCCACATATGCATGTTTAAATTAGTGCTCAATAACAACTATTTCAGTAAAAATCCCAACAACTTCACCACTCTTTGCAATGTTAATCAGCTACCAGCCCTCCAAACACAACAGAAGCCATCATTCACTTGCTACTGCACTAGCTCTGTAAAACATGACAGTATATGCCCATTTAGTTATTACTTGCTCTCGAGCCGTCTCCAATTGTTGAACAAGGTCCTCCCGTTCATGTGCTGCAAAGTGGCGAGCCCCAACTTCATCATCTCCAAGTCTTTGCTTTGCTATTGTCATTCGAAGGAGCTGCGATTACAAAATCAGATTCGGTAAGCAAGAGAACACAGGCTGTAGCATCAGAGTACATCTGCATTAGAAAGAATAAAGCTGTCATAGATTTCATCTTTCAGGCCAAACAGCTAGTATTATTTAAACCAGAGGGAATTTTCTGAGCTGAGGGCTCAATCCTGTTCTCAGTGAAAAATTCCAGTCAAACACTCAAAGCATCAACAGGAGCTGAATTAGACCTGCAACAATAGTCACCAGAATATGCAAATTATGAAAGACTAAGTAAATACAGACACATGGTCAATGTTTTTTTTAGCAGTCTCAGGAACTAATTCTGGCCAGACTAAAACTAGAGAATTCTCAGAAAGCCATTTTCATATGTAAATCTTAAAATTCTCTGCAGCAGAGAACTCTTCCTAGTTAAGAATAAAAAGGCACTAAGTGGCTTGTCCAGCTTCATTTTACTGATTCCACTTAAAATCCCACTGCACTACATCAGTGCAGAATTTGCATTAACAGCTGCTAATACATTTGCTTGTGCATTATTTTTTTCATCTACTCAGTTAATTCATGTTAAAAACAAAAAAATGGGCCAACAACAAAAGGACTTGGCCAAAATGCTTAAACAGCTGATGAACTCATGAGCTTTGTGACTGCTGAAAACAGTCTGACTTGAATTAATACAGAGTTATATTCAATATCCAAAGCAAAAAGCAACTACCTTTCAAGAATCATGGCATATTAAAATAACAGTCTATAAGGCATTCAGCATTTACAGTTGTTTATACTGAGTACAACTAGTCAAAAGTGTTGCCTCCCCATGGCCTCATTTGTAGGAGCTCCACAGAGACTAGAGAAACCCACCACAATAACCAGCCTGACTTTCCCTGTGTCTCTGCACCAAGGAATTAATGTACATCATTATATTGCAGAGTTAGAAAAAAATCAATCTTCTGAAGTAGAAGATTGTACATTAAAATCTATCTTTGGTATTTATGGGACGCCAGTCACCATAGCTGCAATGTGCCAATTAAAATCCTGCTGATGCAAGACAGACTACCAAAATCATCCTCCCCACTTATTTCAGCTCCCGTTCAGTGCAAGTCACTGAAGCTAGTACAACTTGTTCTGATAAGCAGCTCACTTGTTCAGGGGAAGCTGTGCCCCCAAAAGTAACTGGTTTTGGCAAACTACATTGCCCTATCCCCACAGGGAAAGTACAAACCACTGCACAGTTAGTAAGGCTGAATGGATCCTAGGAGATATAATTCCTATTAATTTCTTTATCAAAACAAGTAAGTCAAAAAGGCAACTAGCAAATCCTGGAATGGCTTCATAGCTATGGGACTGGTTTTTTTAAATACTAAAAGGCTCATGAACAAAAGGTATGGTAACGTGATTTAATTCAATTAGATTAATTTAACTTCTAGAATCTCTCGCTACTGAGAAAGGCAGTAAGAAACAAACGTGATAACATTTTGAGGACTCAGTCTTGCTCACAAAAAACTGGAAACAGGAAGGGGAATCACATTTTACCAATGCCTCCAATGCCTGCAGTAGAGCAGAACTTCTGCATAATGCTCGGCACCAGGCTGAGAACTGGATCTGAGCTGTGACTCATGCACTATGACCAACTCTCCTCCAGCCCAGGATGGGGTGAGGCGTAAGATGCAATTATAACTGCAAGCAATTATAACTTGCAAGGTCAAACAGTCTGCCAGTAAAAGGAAAACTATTTACTACTAATTTTGAGCAAAAAAAAAATACGTATGAAGTCTTACAAAAAGAATGCTTCAGAAATCCAAATTCAGCCAGTAAAAGCAGCATTATAAACATACATAAAATAAAGTAAAATACCAATCCATAAAACGACAGAGTGCTTCTTCCAGACAGTTGGCCAATCAGAGAGTTGACAGGGCAGAACAGGCCAAGTCCTTTAATTCTGCATTGCGAATGTCTCATGAGGCAGCACCACCTGCTATAAAATTCTTCCTTGAAAATGCTGTGACCCAAAGAGACACTAAGTGTTATGCCAGAGGGTTAAGGGTTTACTTCATATATTAGTGCTTTGTTATAAACTTTATACACCTGCCCTCTGGCTGCTGTATTTTTATTTCTGTCATTCAGAAATCACAGAGGAAAGGACAGCTCAACTTCATTTTGCAGCTAGAGAATAGGTTAATGCTACCCCTCAGGATTCTGAGCATCCACAGCAAAGTGGATTTAAATTAATGGCACCTAACCAGAGAGAGCTCCTGTTTGTCAAGAACCCGTAGATTGGTAACCAAAATAATCCAGTGCTGCAAGCCACTGTCTTTCTTATATTAATATCACAGCTTTTTCTTAATCAGTGTCAGCTAAAATAATTATTTATAAAGTAGCAACTCTGTAGCAGCCCTACAATGCCCCAAACAGGCTTCACTGTGATAGCTGCTGTGCAGGCTAAGAGTCCACAGACAATGCCTGCACCAATGTTGTACATTCCTGATTCTCTATAAAACATGCAAAAGGAAAAAGGCAACAAGCACAACCAGTAAATTCTTCATGGAAGGCAGAAACTATCATGTTCAGCCACATACACTGACAGCAATTGTCTTCACCACATTGCCTACAAAATGTTAAAAAGTGGACCAGAACTATGCAAATTTGCTACCTTAAATCCCATTTCTGCCAAAACATATGCACCACATTTAACATTTCGCACTGCTGCTGCATGAATGATTGTCTGCCTTATAATAACAAACTGTCAGTAATACTGCAGCCATTGTTTTCCACGCATCTTCCTCTCGCTTAGCACTGCCCTCGACAGCTTACAAAACCATTTCTTTGCGTGGGTAGGAATTCAAGTGAAGGCAACTGAGTCATCTAGTGTTCCAGAAGTCTACAGTTTCTCTTATGCTTTCCATTTTTACCCTTTTACAAGACAGAATTAGATTTCCTAACTATCCTCTTCTAAGTTTCAGTAATTGTTCTCCAAGCATTGCTGCCAGAACGTTAGGAAGGAAAGAGATTTACAAATAACTATCACAAACATAGAGTAGTTTTCATGTGTCAGGGCTGATAAGAGATTGTGATCAATCATAAAAATAAATAGTCTTAGATATCTGTTGCTGGAGCGCTGCAGTCTAACTATTGCTGTATTTCTCAAACTGCAGCAACAAATTCTTCCAGAGACTGCCTGAAGAAGTTTTATTATTTGTGCCAAGAGAATTCTAGCTGAAATTAAAGGAAAAAATTAGTCCAGTTAAACCAAATGCAAGTAATTTGTTATTGCCTAACTGATGACGTATTTAAAATTATTTCAACAAGTAAAATGTCACCAGTTTAAAGTATTCTTGCTAATCTGAGTGACTGCATCTTACCAGTAGCAAACATTAAAATGGTGAAAAACAACTCAGGCTATCAAAACAATTCTTTATCAATAGAGCTAATGTGTGATATTTAAAGAGTTTTTTTCTTTTTCAGTTCTACAAAGCTCTTGCCACTCAGTGACAAAGCCTGCATGAGTCACCCCTGCTGAAACACAGGCAGAATTGTTCATCCATAAGCAGCTTCACTTGCTGCAAAAGCAGCTGTTTGTTCATCTCCTGCCAGAAGTAAGGTTGACGTAGACCAGCTGGGCAGGATGCCCTCCCTCACTTTGGAAAAAGCAGAGAGAAGAATACGGGGGAAAAACGTAAGAATAAGCAAATTATTATAGTTCTTTGTTTTTCTATATACTATGCATTATCTGTACTCCAGTGCCTAAAGTAACCCAGCTGCCAGTACAGGAGAACTGATGAACAGAACAGAATGGCTTCAGGAACAAGCTGCTTTTATCACCAAAGCTAGGAGGGAGCAAAATCTGACACAGGAAGAGAGTGTTAAATCCCTCAGAGAGATGGCAATGCTTTTTTAGGCACTTCAAAAAACAGCAACCTGACTCTAAAATAAGCTCTATTTCTCATTTACCAGGAAAGTGAAGAATGTGTTCCAAAAATGAAAATCCTAGTCTAAATTAATCCCTAGCTGATGTAGTTCTTTCCTCCCTCTATTTAGTGATGCAATACTTTGCATCTTTTGGAGAGGGGCATGGTGGGCAGAATAACTCTTTTTGTGTTTTTCCATTCGTTATGAGGATCATGAATTTAAATTCATGCTGGGAATACAGATGTCACAAAGATGACCAGCTAATACCAAGTTAACCCGCAAAGGCAAATATAAACAAAGCCAGTTCAAGCACAAAGAAGTAGGCTCTGTGTTACCAAGATCACAGTGTTATAAGGAATTAGAATAGGTACATAACCTTGATATTTAAATAAAGGTTTTACTACCTTTGTGTTCTGTTTGTACTTACAAACCCTTGTTATCTGTTCAGGACTGGCTTGGAAAAGGATGTATGGCATAATATTAGAACTGGAGAACTGCAAGGCACAGTCTTCTACACTGTAATATAGTTCAAACAATAACATACAAAAGAAGAGAAACACTGGGAAAGCTGGTCTTTGAAGACTTGAGCAAGTTACACTGAATGCTATGCATACTACAAATTCAGGTCTCACTTGACCCTCTCCCAGCTCCCTGCCCACCTTCAAGCAAGTTCTTTAAGACAGACAAGAAATAAAACTGCATTATCACAATATACTTATGTTTAAAATAAAATAAATAAAATAAAATGAACTTAAATGGAAAGAAAAAACCCCACATGAATAATTAAAAGCCACATCATTTTTATATCCTGTAACTTTAAAACTGTAGTTGAGGGAGGGAAGTTATCATTCATTATATGTTTCATTTTTACTTAGTTAACCACCCCGACTCTCAAATCCAACCTCTCACTAGTTTGATCTCTGAATGTACTTTTGCATACCGCTCCAGCTGTGAATGTTACACACATTTGGCTTGAGTTTAAATATTTCAATTAACAGAGACAACAGGAGTTTGATTAATACCAAACGGCAGATTTTGAGCAATGTTCCATATAACTTGCTAAATTTAGCAATGAAATAAATTGGTTATGTAAGGGTAATAGGATGAGGGCTTAATACAAATCTCACTAGATATATATTTGTGATCAACTGCTCCATATTTTTGAAGGGAAACATTATGTCTCCCTCAGTTTTGTCATCTACCAAAATTTTGCATTTTCATTGCAAAAAAAAAAATAATTATCACATGATGAAGAAGACATGCTTATCTGTACTTTCTATTTCTAAGAGGAAATACCACTAATAAAATATATTTTAAAAAAAAAGAAAGCAAGAAAGAAAGTCTGAGATCATTAAAGCAAGGCTAGGTGCAAAATACATAGTTAAGGACAACAGAGCAAAAGCAGCATACAAAAATATATAATAAGCTACACTTACTGGTATCCTGTACAAGCTTCTTTTGTTCTACTGGTTTGAGGATTTATTGTAATCAAAGTATTCTAGAAGTTCTGTAACCCATTGTTTTATTTGTTTTCCTAAGAAGTAAATGCAAAACTCCAGCCCAGTTTACACATTTCATGCCATTTACTGATAACAAAAGTTTATACCTTATTGTCCCCTTGTACTTCTCCCAGTCTCTGTTGAAGCTCTCTAATCTCTTCTCCAAGATGTTTATTTCGATCTTGTGCCTCACTCAGTAGTTGAGCAAGATTTGCCTAGAAAAAGAGTAAATATCAGTCAGAAGTTGGTGCCTATGGAGAGAAGCGTTAAGTGGTGACTTAAAAGAAACCCTAGACTTACTCCTCATCTGCCAACAATCTTTACTTTTATTGTTGTTGGTACCTAGACTTCATGCTTCATTAGAGAGATAACAACAAAAAAAGAGTCATCAGGGTTCCTTTATCTTTAATGGTAGGAAATACATACAGCACGTGTGCATCCAGACTCCCAGAACAGTGCCAGTGCCCAAACCCCAAACAAGACAAAGTGAAAACATCTACACTAGTTCTGGCATCCTGGCTGGTGGGAAGAGCAAAATGCAGAGTACTTTGATAATATTTGCACAAAGTTGCCAAAATAATAGTTTTAAACTTGCATATAATTAGACAAAAGGCACAGCTGAGAAATAATTATGATATAATTATATTCCCTAATACTGTTTAGAGCAGATTCCTAGCCAGTAAAGATGATGCCAGCCAGAGTCCCTGCCCCTATACGGAGCTGTATCATGGATATCTAGTAGCGCAAAACTTCAAACGTGACCTGACTTGTGTTGTTAGCTACCATGTAGACTTCTAGAAAAACAGAGGTGAAAGCTAGAGATTAAAAACAAACACCCCATCCCCAAATAATCCAGGCCAAAAGCTGACATTCACATTAACCTACTAAGTTAGCAGGGTGAGCAGTCTCGTCTATAATTTTACAATTAAATTCTATCAGCTTGATCACTAACCAAAAAATAAGGCAATCTCCTTCTTTCCTGTCTACCATATCTGAAAATGAGCAAATACTACAGATAAATTTATTATATTTTTACCCTAAAAATATCTCACAAATCCACAAGCATTGACCCAGCATAGGAAAAGCCTACCAATGACATCTCTTTTAAGAGAGTTATAATCATAGTGGCTAAAGTACAACCTTTCAAGACATTGCCTATGGACAGCTAGGTGTGTCATCCATTGCCATAAATTAGAAAAGTACAAAAACAAATGAAAAAAGAATTTTCATATTTTCTAAGCAAGACTTGGTATAGCCCTATGAGTCAGTATTTCTAAGCTACACTTACACATACTGCCTGGGTTTGAGGCCAACGCATCAACTGACTGTTCCTAGTTCTCTCTCAGTACGTTAGGTTTAGTTTTAGATTCCCTACTTGCTGTGCTTCTCTTTCAGCTCCCCCATTTCTCTATTTGGTATCTTTCTTTTTCAGTCCTGCTCTTTTACTCAGTCATTCTCACCACCACTTGATAGTCTCATAGGAAGTTTTTCTGAGTTTTATCTTTAAAACTCATACACGATCAAACGAACAAGGTGTCTGATAGCCATTCCTGCAATCTTTCCCCTTATTTACTAACAACTGCTATTTCCACATGTCCTGTTTTATATTTAAGAGAACTACTAACATGTATATCAACATGAATATAGCTATGCATGCATCTGACCATTTGCAGGATTAGACTATAAAACTATTGTCAACTGGAACTTATGTATGCTGCTATATGAAGAAGATGGCTCCAAATTCCAATTGGTCTAAAAGAGCAACAGGTTCAAACTTTTAAACAGGAAAAATAACTTGAGAAACTGATATATCATACTTGATGATCATACAAGCCTAATTCACTGCTACACCTTCTGTACTGCTGGTGCTCTGAGATCAAAGGTTCAGAAGAAAGTAAGGTAAGTTTCCCACAGTTTTGGAAGACAGTAAAGTATTTTTTAAACTACTGATAAACCTGAAGACTGCAAATAAAGAATTTGGGAAAAGAGTGTAATAGCAAAAAACATAAATAGCCAATTATAGGGCCAAAATTAAGCTGCCTCTAACTTTAAAGACAGCAACCATTCAAGCAATGCAAAAAGTTCCTCAAGTATGCTTTGACAGAATGATTTTTTTTCTACGTTAAACAAATGCGTAATAGTCATCCATATATTGAATGAATCAAGGCACTTCAGAACACATTCAGTCAATGGTTTTGAGAGGTACTTCTTGGCTATTCAAAAGAAAGAAAACAAAGAACCCATGTTTGCAGGAAATTGTATTTAAACGGAAATATCTATGGCTACTGCTCAGATACCTTTTTTTTTTTTTTTTGAAGAAAGCTGACTTTCAATAAAGACCATCCAACCCCCAGACTGAGTTAGTTAAAAGGAACACGATTTGCACAAACCTCTCTGAAACACTTCTATTTATAAAGTCCCTTTTTATGAGGAATTTGAACAACTCCTAACACTGCAATAGCACATGTAATTTCAACACAATCTCACTAATCAGTGTTTACAGCCACAACACCAGGATTCTAGCAGTCTGTAGTCAAAACCTGGCTCCCAGAAACTGCAGAAAAGGCATTACCATGCCTATACTGAATCTTCTGGCTCAGATTTATTTCCTTTAAAACCATTTCTCTGATGCTGAATTTTATTTGTCAGTCATATAAATGACTTAACATGACAAAAACCTTTATACTCAAGACAGGTATTTTGGAAGAAACTTTAAATGAAGAATTTTAGACACCAAAATAAGACAGCCTCGATTAAGCATGCTAAGAGCATTACAATGAGCTAAGTATAGACTTGCTCCTTAATGCAAAGCTTCTATTATACTTCTGTTAAACTAGAACAACCAAGCTATGTCACAGAAGTAGTCTCCAGCAATTATTCATTTCCCTGGCTTAGGGGTTCCATACAACATATGATTTTGATTGTTCTGAGTTTTAAAGGTTTTGGCAAGACCTCATTGAAGCTCTCTGTTAAATGTGGATAGAAGGAGAAATATTTGATTTTCACAAGTGCTCTACTGGGCTTAGAGAGAGCCAGCCAAGAGGATATGTTGAACGACACCTGGACTTGCTACCATTTCTTTGGTATATATAAGAAAACATACCATATGGTTGAAAGATGATAAAACTAACAATGGAGGACAGGCTTCGTGAACATGTATTTTTTAAAGAAAGAGGAGAAATCTATGCAAGGAGAAAGGCGATTCATTTTCCACCTGGCAACTTCTTTTCAATATTCATAGAACAAACACAGAATTCACTTAGAAATTCAGGACAAGTTACTTCAGCAGACAATAAAGCTCGTATCATTTACCTGTGCAACAGAGAACAACTCTCTGAAAATTAGCCAAATTCAGCTTCTCTAGACTCAATTTCTTCAACAGCTTCTTTTGATTCTATGTGAAGCCTTAAAAAGACTCCTGTAACTGTCAGAGACTTTACTTCTTTCACTCGCGCTATTCAAAACTAACTCCAAAGTACTGATGAAGAGAGATTTCTGAGCCATGGGTAATGGGAGGGAAAGACACAGAGGTCTATACCTTTCTGCTGCCTCGCCTTGTCTTGCCTCTGCAACAACCTGCAGCAGTGGAAAAACTGTTTCTCCTACCCTCTCTCAGTGCAACTGTCTGTAATACTAAATAACAGATAGTCCTTCATTCAAGTCTCTGATTAACTGCCCGGTATCAATCTTTCTAGAGCTCTGTGCACCTCTGGCGATGTTCAGTTTCCGGCATGTATTCTTGAGCCTCTGCAGCATGACAAGCTATTTGTTTTACATCCATCTGTCACAGGAAGCTTGCATGTATCATAGAATATCTCAGGTTGGAAGGGACCCATAAGGGTCATCAAGTCCAACTCCCTGCTCCTCACAGGACTACCTAAAACTAAACCATATGACTAAGGGCATCGTCCAGATGCTCCTTGAACTCTGACAGTCTTGGTGCCATGTCCACTTCCCTGGGGAGCCTGTTCCAGTGACCGACCACCCTCTCAGTGAAGTACGATTTGAGTGTAGTCCAAACCCCCACTAAAGTACTAGACATAAGAAACTGTCCCCATATTCCTTTTTCCTCTGACCAAAAGCAAGCGCAACCATAGCCAATGATCCCAACAGAAGCTAGGAAGAAAGGAGGAAAAGTCTAATATGAGAGTGCCGAGTGGGAAGTGCCGACCTTTATTACATAGGGGAAAAGAAGCACCATAAATCAGAACAGACCAGAGAGTGAAAGATTCAATGGGATGGGATCACAGACATCTCACCCTTTTCTACTTAGACTTTGTTAAAATTTGAAAGAACATTTTTGGGATAGGAGGTGGAAGAGTACCTTACTTTTAGCTACAGAGGAGCATCTGAAACTACTGATGAAAATACCTATCAATATTTATTAACATAAGTCAGTGAATACCTGTCAGACAGCAACAGATCTTTGCTCACTACTAACCAATGACCCAAGAAGAAGGGGGGGAAGGGGGAGTGGGACAGACGGACAGACAGAAAAAGTAACTCCAACATCCCTGGCATTATGCACTATACTTGAATTTGGCTCCTTTAACAATTTTGCAAATCTAGCCGCACATACACACAGTGTTATTTTTCTTCACACCACTTTAAAAATGATGGATAGTAACACAGTCTTTAATATAGCTCTCAATTCTCTTGCACATAAATCTTATCTGACACTTAAAAAAAAAAAAAGAATTTAAAAAAAGGACTTTCTGCCTTTAGATACTGCCTGAAAAAGTAATTTGGCAACAGGGAAGAGGGAGAAACTTCCAACATACCTTTCCAGTTTAAAAATATTTTTAAATACAAACAAGCATTTCTATACTGCAGTTTACAGTCTTTTATCTTTCTTTCAGCCACACCTTCAAATAAAGAAGAACACTGAATTATAGGGCTGACAGAAAAAAAACCCCAACTTTGATGAAACATTAAGCACACTTGATGGGTGTGACTGATAGCAAATTTAATTGCAGTTTCTCCTCCAATGCATTCATATGATTGCAATGGCTGAATTAATACAGAAAAACCTGCTTTGCTTACCAACTATCACTCTTCACTCCAAGGCAGAAGAACTGATTATGTCCCCTAGCACTAGCTTCCTTATGATAAAAAGCAAAAATTATTGTATTTTTCTCTTTATGTTGAAAAACTATGTAGAGAAGACTTCTGAAATTATAGGTCCCGGGCATACTAAACAAAATACACTTAATAT